TAACCCTTTTGTTGTGTTCAAAAACTGGGTAGTGTTGTGGTCAGCTTGACCCATATTGATGTCAGAGACTAAATAATACAAACTCTGTGAGAAATGTAATGATTTCCATCTATTTTCACTGTGTTTTTTTTTTCTATTGTCTTAGGGGTCAATTTGCGCATGTGCAGAATAATTTAAAATTGGTGTTTTCTCATAAATACTAGTAGTGACTTTTTTTCAAATAACAGGTGAAATGGATTTCTCACACTTAGTTTCAGAGCTGCAACAGTCTAGTCATTGAGATCCAAAAAAAAACAACAGTCAGAAACAACCGTTGACACGTTTTTTTGACTGTGAAACTCAATAAGAAATAGTGATTTTCATTGGATGATTTAGAATATGACTCTAAATTGAGTCTTAAATATCATAAGTTCGCATGTATTTCATGTTTTAGTGTTTGACAACTGCAATAAAGGTTTTCTGTTTTTTTATCTTACTCTTTATTGTTTTTGAAAGTGTTCATTTTTGGCAAATTGCATGGAAGACAATGGAGTCAATAGGACCCCAACACACAAGCAAAATCTGTATACAGCCTTTCCAAAACACGTCTATGTGTCGAAACTTTGCACACACATTTATCACCCTAAATGAGAAATATCCACCAAATTTAAAGAAGAAATAAATAGTTCAACCAGTATTTTGAGCACTTTGAATATCGAGTGTGGGTCAAACTAGCCCGAACACAACCGGAGGCTTAAACTCGAGTTCTGTAAAATCTTTTCTCTCTGAAGAAGTCAACATGCATTCATATTGAAATGCCATTATTATTATTATTATTTTGAGTTTGTAGAACTTATGTTACGTTTGCAGGAAGCACAGATTAACTTGAATCGTTAAGTTGATACAATAAATGCGTTGAATTAATTCAATAAAGCCCTAAAACTGGTTGAGTTTTCAGATTGTATTTTTTACAGTGTAGATGAATAATGAGGAGAAAATTCAATAACAAATACTGTTAGTTTAATAACAGCGAGAGATCTGTGGTGAAATGGCTTTATTTTGGCGTCAGTGCTCTTAAATCGCATCAGATCTATGATCTTTACAGCGCTGTGTGTTTGTTATGAGTGTGTGATAGATGGAAGGGTTTAATCAGTGAATGTATGATTCTGACCTGTGACCTTTGACCTCTCTGATGTACGACTGACCGTCTCTGCTGACCCCTGTGTGTGTGGGAGCTGTGTGTTTAATTTCAGTTGAGTTTACTGGCATGACAAGCATTGCTGTGTATAGCCAAAGCAATTCTGATGTTTCCAGTGAATCTAGAGCAGATCATGAAACGAAGTGTTTGAGCTGAATGCTGTGGGTGAAGGTGTCTTGTGTGTGTGTGTGTTTCTGCAGCTTCAGGCTTTCTTCAGTATGCCGCTCATGGTTTTAAGGGCTTTTAAATGATCAGCTGGACTCGCTGCATTTCTGATAATTAGTTAAGAATCAGAAGAGCAGACTCAGAGGCACTCAAACATCTTCCTTTATACTTTTTCAGTCGTTTCTTTCGTTTAGGACGCTGTGTCTCTCTCTCTCTCAGTCTGTTGGGAATCGTCTGCAGAGAAAGTGAGCGCTGTTTTTCTTTCTTCTCTTTTTTGTTTTGGTTGTTAAGCTCGTGTGTGTGTGTGTGTGTGTGTGTGTGTGTGTGTGTGTGAGTGTGTGTGAGTGTGTGTTCTGTCATCGTTTACTACAGTAATGAGTCATTATTGATGGATCAGTTTCCCCTCCACTAAAGCTCATCAGTGAGTTCTCACAGAGTGCTTCTGGAGATCAGCACAGTGATGTTGTATGTGTTTATAAAACACATTTCATTAGCATTTCATAAAATAAAATTTTTGACCAAATTTCCTTTTCATCCTAACCAATTTTGATTCTATTGTAATCAAATTAAACAATTTGTGTGTGTGTGTGTGTGTATATATATATATATATATATATCAAAATAAACATTCACGCTGAGCCTATTTTTAGGACTTTTTATTTTTTAATGTGTTTTTTATTAAGTACTGTACTCTCATTTATATATATAGAAATGAGATATAACTTACTAAATACCAGAATTTGAGAATTTAATTAGAATCATCATTATACTGTGTGTGTATGTATGTATGTATATATATATATATATACATATACATATATACACACACACACACACACACACACACACTTCAAGATCTATGCAAAACACCTCAGACATTTCAATAGAAAGAAATAGCCTTATCTGACCAAAACACAGACGTTCTTGGAATAAAAGAGCTCTCAGGAGAGAAGTGCACTCACAGGTGGAGACTAAGGTGTTCATTGGGGCACTGATGATGTTGTCGATCACGGCGTACAAATTGATGTTGTACTCCAGACCCGGCTCCAATCCTTTGAGGGTGGTGTTGGTAACATTTCCTGGGACTCTGATCTCTAGTTGTACTCCACCAGGGGTTGTGGGGGCGTAAGTGATGAGATAGTCTGTCAGGATCACAGGCCCCTCCCACTCCAGATCAATGGTGTTCTCTGACACACCCCGAACTTGCAGATTCATAGGAGGTGACACTGAGTATTAAAAGAATGAGGACATCAAATGAATATGAATCATTCTGATTAAAAAGCAATTATTCTGAGGAGACGGGTATGGAAAATTCTCTGATGTGATCTCAGGCAAATTACACTGCAAGTACTTTTGTTCACATATACCTTTTTAAAAATGTGTATTATAGATAGATAGATAGATAGATAGATAGATAGATAGTAGATTGATGTTTCTGTATGTAGTGAACTTGAAAAAGTAAAAAAAAATGCTACTTCTAAAAAGAGATGGAGAATCCCATTTGGGCTACCCAAGAGACTAAGAAACAACCCGGGTCTCCAGAACACATGAGAGTTCCTCCTAATACTGGGCTCATAGGAGTAGCTATAAGTGGCCCCTAGGGAATTACTAAGGACTTGAGAAAGCAATTCAGCTCCTTCCACACGAACAGGACAGACTGGCATTCCTTCTGGTCCCCCTCTACAACAGATCCATCAAAATAGAGAAAAAAGTCCCAGGGTGCATACTTAGCAAAATTGATCACTCTAGCATCTGTGCTTTTCACCCATATCTAGTTGCTAAGCTCCCCTTTTTATTTTCAAGGAGAAACTAGAATCCAGGAAGCGGAGCACAGATATTCAGATACAGTCTTAGGCAAAAAGGGAGCAACAGTCTTTCCAACTGGATGCTTATCAGTTTCCACTTCTCACAAGAAAGTCTCATCACTTACAAACTTGAAAGCTGGCATCAATTATTTGAAATGTCTTTCTATAACAAGAAATATATTTTGCATAATCAGTATATATTTTCTGGCATATTAAGTATAATCAGGAAATGTTTTCTTTTTAAATTATATATATTAAAATTAAAAGAATTAAACACACACACACACGCACACACACACACACACACACACACACACACACACAGTATAATGATGATTCTAATTAAATTCTCAAATTCTAAAATTTAATAAGTGTTTATTATCGTACAATAAAAATAAATACTGTACAATGATCAATTATTTTAATCAAAGGTGGTACAACAATAACCAGGATGTGTTAATACTGTGCAAATTAAATGACATATTATACATTTTTTATTTTTATTTTATTATTTTTATTTTAATATATTTTTGTATTATTTCATTTATTCAGATATTATAGTAACAGCAGTTAGGCAGGATGTGTTTAATTGTCATGAAATTGCTGATACAGTGGTCCTAAAATAGGCTTCATGCTCATTATGCAAATTGTGTGTGT